AGCATTAATCTTTAGTTTTACGTCATCACATTTTTACCGTTGCTGTCACTTACCAGAGCCGTTTATCCGAGTTTCTCCGTCTGTGTTCCAGCTGATCCAGACCGTGACGGCGGTGGACCCCGATGACCCCCTGGGGGGACAACACTTCTACTACAGCTTGGCTCCAGAAGCCGCCAACAACCCAAACTTCACTCTGAGGGACAACCAAGGTACACAAATCACACGGAGAGCTCGTCGCGCCGCGCCAGTACTTTTAATAAAAAACTGAGCATCATTCTCAAGAGAGTTTCCAGAGAGTTCCTAAACGTTTACGAGGGTTCTTAAATTTCTTCTTTTGGAAGAATTTTCTCTCTTTTTTATTGTTGAGTACTCAAAGGACTCTGGAGTCGTTGTAGATCCAGTTACTGCAAGACAAAAAGAGCAAGAAATGGGAGACAACTTTGAGAGGAGTTAGAGACTAACTCACAAATGAAACTAGGACACTTTGAGATTAATTTGCAACCAAAGGCTTTGCTTAAACACCACGATTTGTTTGTAATTACACCCCAGCCGAGTACAGGACTCCCCACTAAACCGCTGAAGGTTCAACTCGGTTTGATGCCAGCTGCTCATTCTCACTGATTTGTCTCCAACTAGTTGCCAACAGTCAGACAGCTTAAGCATTGTGCGTCGCCGTGCTTAGTTTTCACTCCCATCGTGGAATAAAACCCACAGATTATTTACGTTTAACTAAAATCAGAACTCTGTAGCTTTATGCCCTCTGAATCAAACGGTTATAAAAAGGCTCCATAACTCAAGGGATGAGCCATATTTGAACAGTTAATCTGGATCCACTTCTCTGTGTTCAGACAACACCGCCTGGATCCTGACCCGGCGCGGCGGCTGGTCCCAGCAGGACCAGACCGTCTTCTATCTGCCCGTCTTCGTGTCCGACGGCGAGCAGCCGGTCCAGACCAGCACCAGCACGCTGACCGTGCGCCTGTGCAGCTGCGACCACGAGGGCAACGTCATGACGTGCAACGCCGAAGCCTACAGCCTGCCAGCCAGCCTCAGCAAGGGGGCGCTCATCGCCATCTTGGCCTGTATCTTCGTCCTGCTGGGTGAGTCGCAAACGCAGGAATTTTAATTTTAGTAAGAAGCTCAACTAAAACTAAAGTTTTACTTCCATGTTTCATTTGTTCAGTGATGATTCTGCTCATGCTTTCCCTCCGGAGTCACCGCAAAAAGCCGTACCTGTGTGACGAGGAGGAGAACGTGCACGAGAACATTGTACGCTACGATGATGAAGGCGGGGGCGAGGAGGACACCGAGGCCTTCGACATCGCCGCCATGTGGAACCCCCGGGAGGTGCACCACCCGCTGGGTAAAGTGAGACAGGACATGCTGCCGGAGATCGAGAGCCTGTCCCGTTACGTTCCTCAGGTGTGCGTGGTGGGAGGCGGCGGCGACAGCAACGTTCACGGGTACGTCCTGGCCAAGCTTCTGGAGGCTGACATGGACCCATGCGCCCCGCCGTATGATTCCCTGCAGACCTACGCCTACGAAGGGGAAGGATCGGTGGCGGAGTCACTCAGCTCGCTCCAATCGGGAGCGTCGAACACAGACCACGAGTACGACTATCTGAACGACTGGGGCCCGCGCTTTAAGAAGCTCGCCGAAATGTACGGTGTGCTCGAGACAAACAGTCCTCCAATGTGGTAGAAAAACTTTTTTTTTTTTCATCAGACGCGTGGGAAGGTGAGGACGAAGCTAGGATGTGCTCAGCTCCGAGGCCCTGGTGGCCCCAGCAGCAGCGTGAGCCGGATTTAAATCTCCCCGGAGAGCCAGGCAGGACTTCAGAGCCTCGTGGTGGAAGAACGGCTTCAAAGCACACGTTTAGCTCCGCCCCTCCAGCCACAGCAGCCACCGGCACATGGTGGAGCTGAAACCTTGAGCAGGAGGGTCAGGGGGCGTGCTGAATTTATTTCTGTTATTTACACCAGCTCTGTATTTTGTTGTAACATACATGACGTAGCCGTGTGTGGGCGGAGCTGTCGGTGCTGAGCAAGCCCACGTGGCTCTTTAGCGTGTTTAATGTGAAGTTTTGTCATTTTCAGCCGTTTGTCTCGATGTTTCTGTTTGAGGGAGGAGCGCAGGACTTTACCCAGGGTGCACCTGGGACCGAGCACACGACGAGTCGCCTTCTTTCGTTGTTCCCAATTCCACCGCCGTGCCAGCCGGACTCCGACGTTTGTGCGTCCACACAAATGTGGCTCGATCCTCCGATCCTGAGGACTACAGAGACGCAGACGATCTGCATCAAGTGCCAAACGTAAAAGGGACACAGACGTTTCAGAAAGTAAAGAAAACAGAAGCTGGCCACGCTCACCAACAGAAGACTCACCCCAGCAGCTTCTGATGACTGAGTGAACCGTCGTGTTCGGCCGCACCGCTCGTAGCGGCGTGTGAATGTAGATACTTTTTGTATTCTTGTTAATAAAACTTAAAAAAATCAAACAAAGTGTAAAAGAGTCACATCTCCAACTAAAAAAAACACCCTTTATATTTTCTGTCTTATTTTTGGGCTTCTAGAAGTTTTCTAAAGATGTTTTTAGTCTTTTTTTAATTTCTTTTCATCTCTTGTTGCTTTTTGTTGCCGTTTTTAGGTGTTTTTTGTGTGATTTGTAATTTATCTCCATTGCTCGCTCTTTTTGTCTTGTAGAGTACATTTTTTGAGGAGTCTCGTTACTAGAGGGCGGTTTTGAGATTTAGCAGCAGGGATGCCTAATCCTGGTCCTGCAGGGCCGCTGTGCTGCACCTTTTAGTTGTGTCAATTCAATTCAAAATAACTTTATTAATCCCAGAGGGAAATTGACTAATGTCCATGCTCCGACACACCTGACTGGTGATTCAACCACTGAACAGGTGTGTTTGAGCAGGGAAACTACTAAAACATGTTGGACACTGGCCTTTTTGGGTGATGTTTGGCATTCAGAGTGTTTTTATTTGTCACCGCGTCTGCTCTCAGATGGCGTCGTCTGCTGGTTTCATGCCCGTGGCACACGTTTTCTGCTGGGTTTCGCTCTAGTGGACCCTGACTAACTAGATAAGGGGCTTGTTGAAGTTAATGAGCTGATGATTAAAGGCTCAGGGCCTCACACGGACGAGAACGTAATTTTCACTTTAGAAGCGGGGGGGACACGGGGGGGGGGGGTATCATTACAATATGTTCTAATGGAAAACATGCTTCAACACAAACGGTTGCTTTCCGCTTGGTCCTAGAGCTCAACCAGTGTCAATTTAATATAGTGTAATATTGTTTTTGGATGGTAAAAAGTGCAGGGGTCAAAACTTGACTTTGGAAAAAGTGGGGGGGACATGTCCCCCCTGTCCCCCCCAAAATTACGTCCATGCACACGGACGAGGATTAAAAAACAAAAACACTTTAAGTCTAAGTTGTGTTTAAAATCTGGTGTAAAAATGTTCACGATCCTTCTAAAACGCTGATTTTCTCCTTCCACAGATTGGTCTGGAACACAGAACTTTCGTATTCGACAAGTTTTCCATCTGAATGTTAAATTTAGGACATTTGGAGCCATTTTAAGACAGTCAGACTAGCCGTTAGCTCATCAATCTTGATGTAAATTCTATTTCTTTGAACAAAGGCCTTTCAATAAAAAAAATAAAAGACAAACATTAGAAATAATTAGCGCTGTAGTTTAAAAACAAACGTTGGTCAGCTGTTCTACAGTTTTGCTTCCTTAAATCAGATCAACTTGATCAAAAGACCTTCTTCAAGGTTAATTTTTATAACAAAGCTGCTCCTCGACGTTCCTGTTCAGAACAAATAAATGACTTTTAGTTACGTTGTGCTTTCATTTGGTTCAGTTGTTTTTCTCCTGCAGGTATTAAAGCTTGTCCTGCCTGGAGTCTGCGGACCACCTCGTTAAACAAATCCTCCAGGTTCGTTCAGCTGGAACAGGAAGATCATCGGAGGACTGTTCAGTATGATTTAGACATTTATGAGAACATAAAAGGGAAAGACGGAGATATTTTAGAGAAACGACTCCTGATCTTCACGCTGATCTTCTACAAAAGGCTAATGGGTGTAACATATGAACTTTGTCCCCAAACGTTCCAGAGAATTCCCCAGCAGATGAGACGGGAATGATGAACGACTTTAAAAATGGTGGATTATCTCTTTGACGGTCTTTTCTAAAACTGCTCAGAGGTTTCTGAAGCTCCAACTCTGATTTCAGTCAGAGGGAGGTTTATTATTCTGTGAATGTAGTTCAGCAGCTTCCCGAGTCCCCCCACTCGCTCCGCCTGCATTCCCATCACTTCCCAACATAAATCTCCTGTCACTTGTCAGCACACAGCTGACAGACCTCCAGCCTCTTTCCTCCTCAGTGTCCTCCTCTTCTACGTCCTGCTGTAGAAATTAAACCAACGTCCACTCCGACCTCCCGTCTACACAGATGCCGCACCACAGAACCGGCCTGCTTCCCAAATTCCTTCATTTTCAGACGTCTCCTATGACCGTTTCCAGGCAGAAGCCGAGCCACCCGAAAGGCTCTGAGGGGCTAATTTGGTCTTAAGCTCCACTGCTCTTCCTAACAGACGACAGAGTTCAAACAGCAGAAGATAATAAGAAGTCTTCCAGCTCTAATCCTGCTGAGGGTAAACCGCGGCAAACCCGCTGAATCATCCCCTAATGGGAGGAAGAAAAACACACTTCGTTCTGCTGGAAATTAAGGGGCGGAAAAAGGAGGAACCTCCAGGCCTCCAGAGGGAAGAGCAGGTCAAACCCCTTCGACGTGTGGAGTTGGAGAGCGAGACTTTTACGGACTTCTTCCTCCTCAGCCAATGTATTCAGCTCAGACTGGCCCTCTACATCTGGAATTCCCTTCTGTCCGCCTCTGTGGGAGGAGAAGTATCAGCTAAGAGCTGCAGATCCGACCTGCGACCGTACCTGTAGCAGCAGGTGTTGGTCTGGAGCACACAGGTGCGTGTCAACACAACATCAGACTGTGGAAAAGCCTCTTCTGCCTAAACATGGCAGTGGAGCTTAGGTTTGTTTTGTTTTATCTCAAACTACCACAAGTCTTCAGGAAGTGGACCCAGGAGGCGGAAAGCAAAGCGTCTGGGCGGGGGTGGGGGGTGGGGGGGGGGGGGCAGGACCAGGAAGGCACTTCATAAAAAAAAATACAGTTTGAGTACAGTGGTGGAGGGTTGATGGTTTGGGCTCATTACAGTCCACCATGTCAAATGAGAGTCCATCATGACATTGGTTTGAACCTCTCAGCCGTTGTAGCTCGACACTTGGCTGTGAAGGCCGTGGGGTTGGCCCCACCCGGTGGGAGAAGCGGTGTGCGATGTTAAACCTAAAGGACACATCTGAGAGCGTGAATCCATCTCGGAGTACTAGATGTCACTTCTCCCTGTGATCCATTGACATCCTTTGTTGCTTTCTTTGGTGTTTACCTGGATTTTGTGTCTTAGATAACATTTAGTTGCAAATATTTGGGCAAAACTAGGTTTTTATACAGGTCATCATTGACACCCTCAAGCAAGAGGGTAAGACACAGAAAGACATTTCTGAACGAATAGGCTGTTCCCAAAGTGCTGTATCAAGGCACCTCAGTGGGAAGTCTGTGGGAAGGAACAAGTGTGGCAGAAAACGCTGCACAGCCAGAAGAGGTGACCGGACCCTGAGGGAGATTGTGGAGAAGGACTGATTCCAGACCATGGGGGGCCTGCAGAAGCAGTAGACTGAGTCTGGAGTAGAAACATCCAGAGACACCGTGTACAGGCGTGTGCAGGAAATGGGCTACAGGTGCCGCATTCCCCAGGTCAAGCCACTTTTGAACCAGAAACAGCGGCAGAAGCGCCTGACCTGGACTACAGAGAAGCAGCACTGGACTGGTGCTCAGTGGTCCAAAGTACTTTTTTCGGATGAAAGCAAATTTTCATGTCATTCGGAAATCAAGGTGCCAGAGTCTGGAGGAAGACTGGGCAGAGGGAAAAGCCAACATGCCTGAAGTCCAGTGTCAAGTACCCACAGTCAGTGATGGTCTGGGGTGCCATGTCAGCTGCTGGTGTTGGTCCACTGTGTTTTATCAAGGGCAGGGTCAATGCAGCTAGCTATCAGGAGATTTTGGAGCACTTCATGCTTCCATCTGCTGAAAAGCTTTATGGAGATGAAGATTTCATTTTTCAGCACGACCTGGCACCTGCTCACAGTGCCAACACCACTGCTAAATGGTTTACTGACCATGGTGTTACTGTGCTCAACTGGCCTGCCAACTCTCCTGACCCGAACCCCGTAGAGAACCTGTGGGATATTGTGAAGAGAAAGTTGAGAGACGCAAGACCCAACACTCTGGATGAGCTTAAGGCCGCTATCGAAGCATCCTGGGCCTCCATAACACCTCAGCAGTGCCACAGGCTGATTGCCTCCATGCCACGCCGCACTGAAGCAGTCATTTCTGCAAAAGGATTCCCGACCAAGTACTGAGTGCATAACTGAACATAATTGTTTGAAGGTTGACTTTTTTTGTATTAAAAACACTTTTCTTCTATTGGTCGGATGAAATATGCTAATTATTTGAGATAGGAGTTTTGGGTTTTCATGAGCTGTACGCCAAAATCATCAATATTAGAAACAATAAAAGGCTTGAACTACTTCAGTTGTGTGTAATGAATCTAATATATATGAAAGTCTAATGTTTATCAGTACATTACAGACAATAATAAACTTCATCACAATATGCTAATTTTTTTGGAGGACCTGTATTTTTAATTATAGGTACAGATAAAGTAAATCCATAATTAGAAGAAGACAACTAATCACTCCTAAAAATACAAAACATGGCAGCAATGGAGGGAATTCTCCCGCTAAAATGACAACACCACAGTTGAGTTCATCAGCGGTTCTGGATCGCTCCAAAAACTGACAACTCTTGCAGCAGGCTGAGGAAAACTTTGCTTCCAACATGACTGAGACAGACTGTGTAGGGATTATTTCACTGTGGAAATCATACCTTATTCTTACACGCTGCACCTTTAAAGTCATGAGAAGAGCTGTTTCAGGGACCTTGGGTGGTCCTGAATTAGACCCAGTGAAGTCGAGGTTAGCAGCAGCTTCTCGGCTGTGACCACACGGGACTGGAAGCACGAGCAGAACGGTAAAAACAAAAAGGTGTTTCTGTAACCTCATGAACATGCGCAGGACCTCGGGGATCGACGAGACCTGACGGACACCTGACCTGGACAAACATGGATGTGGAGGAGCTGGAGCTCAAACCTCCATCCATCTCCTCTGGGTCTGGGGCAGGAAATCTGACTTGTGCACTTTAACATCCAAAACGTCGATATTAGCCCTGCAGCTATTTCACACAAATCCTGTGACAGTAGGCTGTATGAGCATTTAATTTAATGAAAAAATTCATTTTTTAATTCCCTAACCCAGCAGAGAAATGTCCGAGGAGGCTTTAAAGGCAGGAAGTTCCCGCTCACCGA